CACAATCGCTGTGAGTCTATGAATTTCATGAACAATATATATAATCCACAAAGTCAAACAATATATAAATACGAGTTGAAACACAAAAATTATCTGTAAATCACTATTTATTATATTGTATAATATACCTAAACGTTGTCTCTACTTTGACAATGTAGGGGTTACCTTTGAATAATATCATAAACGTAGAAATAATTGTTCATTTGAACTCTTCTTAAGCCTAATAATTTCAACGGTAAACTTTCAAAATAATAATTGTCAACACTTTTCAACTTAATACACAATAGGCCTGGGCACGGAGCGGATATCCGGGAAATATCCGTGATCCGATCTGTCTGATCCGTATAGTTGATTTTGCGATCCGCTCCGATCCGAATATTTTCGGATATCCGAAAATCCGGATATCCGTCAAAAATTAAAATATCCGCAGATATCTTATCCGATCCGTAAAATATTAAAATAAATAAATAAAAACAGATATTAATTATAAATAATTGAAAACTAAATAGAAACATCCTAAATATATTATTGTTTCATAAATTATAATACATCTTTAAAAATTAGTTCTAAAAACGTAAATTAATTGATCACAGCGGTACCACTAAACACATTATCGCTAACATTAAAACATAATGCAAAAATAATTTGAAGTTTTAAACATATTATTTGTTAATTTTTTATTTATTTAGTCACAATATTTCTAATTTTAAAGTAATTAAGTAAGTTACTGCTACGTTCTTAATTTTTTTTACTGCATAAATGAGTGGATTATATTTGTGAAAATAATATTTTTGTTGATTTGTATGTTTCTAAAGATAAAAAGAACAATTTTCTTACTATAATGTGTATATATATATATAATTATTATAATATACGGATCGGATCGGATATTCGGTTTTCCAAAAACAATATTTGCTATTTGCTCCGTTTTTAACGGATATTTTGCTTTGATTTGTATCGTTACGGTTATCCAGATTTTTCGGATCGAATCGAAGCGGATAACGGATTGAATCGGGATATAGCGGATAATATGCCCAGGACGTGAAATACAAAGCTGTGTACATGAGACACTCATGCAGGCGTGTCACATTTTCGTGGACGCCTTTGTGGGCCACGCAAGATCTAGTCTTTTTCTTCTTTAAATATTTGTTTTTTCTTATAATAATTGAATAATAGCTTAAATTATCCCATATTCACACTATTTTTAAAAAATCTGAACCGGCAATAACGAAATGTAATTTCGTTGTAGCATTTAGAATTACTCCACCGTATTTCTCTAAAAAAAAAAATCACTCCAACATATTATTTCATTAGCATTTCGTAAAAACGTACGACGTATCTCCGACCAGATCAAGAAAAGCAACTATGCTCAGTGTGGCACCGTCCAAGAAGAGTACGGCTCCAAAACAAACTAGCCGAAAAATGCAGCTAGTTACAAAAGTGACACTTCCGTCGGTAATGAGGGATTTGAAGATGCTTAAAGCCACACGTTGCCTCCCACTGTTAATGGAATTTGAATCTCACAAATCACAATCACTTTCAACTAGGTCTAGGCAAAATATTGGTTAGATTGATTTTGTTTCGTTTCCATCTGGTATCCATTTGGATTTTATCTTGATCTGGACGGTGTCTCAAGTCTCAATACTCTCAAGAATCTCACCTTCTTCATAGTAATTTTTGCCAAAACCGAGAGTAAGCAACCGAGAAAGAATCCTGGTAAGATCCAAGATCGTTTCTTTCTTTATTGCTCAGTGATCAAGGTACTATATAGTCATTATTACATACTTTTCCCTTTATCAACAAATAAAATGTTCCTAGTTCTTGCGTTACGGGTTAGGAAATGAATGTGGAAATTAAGAATGCATTTCCACACAAGATCTTACGGTTACTTTTAATACGTATATGTTGCAAAAACCATATTACTTCAGAGATTTAGCTGTATTGGAATTCGTCGTGAACATATCTGATGGAAATCAGTTATCGACTTCGACTAACTTAGTACCGATTAAAAAAACAAAATTGATGTCAAATCGATTGTATATTAGTTATCGGACCTTTGGGGCTTTGTCTGTGTCTAATAAATATGGACTATAATATATATATATATAGTCCAGTTAATTAGCCCGTCAGACGTTTTCAATATTTCTCTATATGAATATGAATCTTATTTTTGTGATGGCATTTGAATTTTCAAGTAATATCATGATAATTGACTTGTCAAAAAGAGAAAAAAAATAATACTACATTACCGTACAGTAGATCATATATTTTCTTATGCATATCTTATGAAGTTCTGTTTATACTAATGGAAATTCTAAATGGCTTACAAAATGCGAGGATATATACGTATGACTCCACTATTTTACGAAGTGATGGTTAGTTGAACTAATCATAAAAGTATAAGTATTTGGTTGACTAAACCCTAAAAATGATGGTGCCTAAGACCTACCAAATCTTCCAAAAACCTCTCAAACCGCACATTACACTCGCGTTACTTTTATCCCACAATAAAACAGAGAAACCTATGTAACCACTTTTCTGATATGTGGTGTGCGGCCTATTCTAGTGACGGAATCGCATATTTTAAACATACGTTAATTCAGCCTTTAATCATAGATACTAACTTTGTCAACAACAAAAAAATCATAGATATTAACTCCGACTAAATCTCAACTCGAAACTATCCCTTGTAACTCATGTTATATCGGTAAATAAATTTTTGCCTCGGATGTTATTTCTCATTTGATATCGTTTGAAAATAATTTCGCGTCTAGATAAACTCCTAATAGTCACATCAGCCCGTGTCGCATTCCCTAATGGCCTAATTTATGTTGTTGTTTCAATCCTTGATTTAAGCGTCTTCAATCCACAAAGACTTTTAAGTTCTAACAAATTTCCTTATTTTTTGTTTTACTTAGGGCCTGATTGGTTCTCCCGCTACCACCCGCAAACGCAGCGTTTGCGGTTCGTAGCGGTTTCGGCGGTTTATAACAATCACGACAACCGCTTTGAATCGCTCTATACCACTCTGTACCGCTCTATATCGCTGAAAATCAAAAGCTCCTTTCCGCAAGCGTTTGCGGTTGCGGGCGGTTGCGGGTGGATAATTAAAAAAAAAAAAAAAACACAAACTTATATAAAATCCGAAAATAAATAATAATATTTATTAAAAAATAAGATTTGGATAATAAAATCACAATATAAATAAAAAATTAGTACTTTTAGTCAATATTCATTAAAATCATATAATACTTATATATTTATAAGTTCTACAAATCAAAATTCTCTTGATAAATATTCTTTTCATACTAATACATATATATCTAATAAATAAAATTGTAAAATAAATTTAATTTTCACATTAAATATATATTTTGAAAATAAAATCACATTTTTATTTAAATTATAGAAATTAAAAGATAGACGTAAGTATTATACACATATTATTCTTTATAAAAAAATTATTTTTAATTATGTTGAACCATAAATTTAAAATTTTCATTATAATATATTTTTGATATTTTTATAATTATATAATGTGTTTATATTATTAATTTATTGTTTAACCGCTATTGCATCCGCAAGTGAACCAGTCATAAGTAACCCGCAAACGCATCCATTTTCAATTGTTATGCCAGTCGTACAAACCGCTTAATAACGCTACTAATCACAACCGCCCGCTTCCGCAAACTCCCGCACCCGCAACCGCAACCGCAGCGGTTAAACCAGTCAAACCCTTAGTTTGTCACTTCAAACTTTTACATACAAGAGTAATACAAAGTAAAAAAAAAAAAAAAAAAAAACATGCAGTAAATGCCAAACGTAATCGAACGCAATACAGTAAAAACCGAAACTGAAGCAACAACACATCCACTCGATTTGAAAAGATGGTCCCGGCTTGCATATATGATCGGTACGTAACAGATACATAATTTATATTGTAGTAACTTGTTAACCAAGTAACATAGAAAATGAGACTTCGAGTTCAAATTTCTTTTTGGCTTAATCGATTGTTAACTTGAGACTTCCAATACACATAAACAGAAACTTGTGTTGTGTATACATTTCTCTCTCGCGCATGTGATCCCTTAACTTGGACCCTTCCAGCTGCTAATTTATATTTCTCCTTTTTTTGTTTTTATGTTTCGATTCGTTATATTCTAAAGAATATATAGCAAGTTGAAGGAAGATTAATTGTTTAAGTAGTCGGAATGTCGAATCAATGTAGTTAGCCAATTTGTGAGTGCCTACACGTTACAATTATGCTCAATAAGATTCTTATTTTTTGATTTTATCATCAGAGAATAAAAAGCCAAAATTTATAAACGATTGTAATTTGTGAGTTAGTGAGTATTGGATAACCAACCCATCTTTTTCCTTTCTTTCTTTCAAATCTAGAAAATATATCGCAAACGTTTGTATATGTTATATACCGATTTCATACGTTACATTATAGTCAGTTAAATCAAAATAGCACACAAACAAAATATATTTACTTAAAATAAATCAGTGGGCTGTCTAATGGCGCTTTAAGAGGCACCTTTTTTCATTTCTATTTTGTGATAGAGAATCATCATCATAAAGATAAGCATGGCCCTACTACCTTCGACGATTGTTTTTGTTCATACATGTCTTTTCTACATGATAAACTAGCAAGAATCTCCTTTTTATCATCTAATATTTAATCGAATAGTATCAACATTATTTTGTTCTTGTTTAACTAAGCTCACAATGACACAATTCCGAACCTTAAAAGCTATTAGCAATTGGGGAAAAGAACAAAATAAAAGAGCTTAGAGAGAGAAACAGAGCACTGTTCTTTCAAAACATTTAGCCCAAAACTTTCCACAGGTTACAAATCCGGCAAAAACACATTCAGAAACCAAAACTGGTACTGAAAAAAATGTACAATCTGAAAACCGGATCCTTTCCAAAGTGGTGGTCTCTAAACCGACGGTTATTCCCGGTTTAAACATTTTTTCTTTTCCTTTTTTTGAAATTCAAGTCAAACTAGCGAAACAGCTATCAGACCTAGACAAAAGGTTGGAAACACAATCCCCATCTTCGTCTTTAGAAGGACTATTAGGCATTGACCTAAGCATTCTTGGAGAATCCAAGCTTCTTCTCAAGATCTGTCTCATCGCAGAGATCAAATGTCCTGTCGGATTCGGAGGTGGGCTTGAGGATTTGAACTTGTAACACATGTTCATGTGTCTTGCCATGGCTTCCTCTGTAGTTAGCAACCGTTTTGTTCTTATCACCTCGTACTTCACAGCTTCGGAACAGAGACCACAGATCCATTTCCCCATGTAACGCTCTCTGATCATCTCTATGTACGTCTGTGTACACTCCTCGGTTAATCCGCAGCAGTCACACGTCACCGGCTCTGGCTCGTCTCCGGAGATTTGTGTCACCGGCGCCGGAGATGGCTGACGTGGGACCGTCATGACCTCTGGTGTTGAAATTAGCATCGTTGGATCACTTAGTAGACTTGTAGTCATGGTTTTCAAGATTTAAACTGTTCAAAGATTTTCATAAACAAAAGGTTAAAAACTTAAAAGCAGATTCGAATTTAGATATGAAACAGAAAGTAAATCAAGAAGAGAAATCTTACCAGATGAGAAGACAACGCAGTTCGCTAATGATCTTCTTGCTTGTCTCTGTTTTCTGAAACAGAGTTTAAGAAAGAAATTTTTTTTTTTTTTGGTTTTTGGTTTTCTTGAAGGAAATAGGTTTTTAACTTTTTATTATCTTTCGTTTTTACACTCTCCGTCTTCTAAATTCCCTTCTTCTCCGAGGAAAATTTCACAAAACAAAACCATTGCAAAAAAACAGTAAATTAAAAACACCCAAAAATAAAAGCACTTTTTTTGTTCCTTTTTTCTTTAGCTTCTCTTAATATCAAATTTAAAAGTTACCCTTTGTTTACCACTCGTAAAAATCACCGGAGCTCGTTTCAGAAGAGAGAAAGAGACCTTTTTGTTTTGGAGAGAGAGAGAGAGAGAATGTGCAGGCGAAGAGAAGCAATGATTGGAGTTATAAAGGGTAGAGAAACTGTAGAAGAAGAAGAAGAAGAATAGTAAAAGCCACGTCAGATAATTCGATAACTTAATCCTCGCCGTCTATCTGGAGGCAAGCCAGCTGGCGAAGAAACCGACTTTTTCTCTCCAAACATATTCACACAAAAGATATAATTAAAAATATGTTTATTTACTTCAGCCGTTTCGGTTTGGTTTTCCGTTTGACTAAGTTAGCTAATTAGAACTAGCCACGTCGTCTATGACGCAATTATCGACTAATTTTATTGTTCAACTAACAATGCACGAAACACCATAATCGCGGCTTTAACTTTGTTAATGTCAAACGTTTGGTGTCTTAATGTGAGGGCGGATTGCGATTTTTTTAACCTTGGTTTGCAAATTTGAAATGTTTTGAGTGTCTGTGAAATATAATGAATGAGGAACGTTAATATACGACCAAGTCAAATCATTATTAATTAATTACAAATCGTGGCTAAGTAACTTACTGTAAGTTTTTGTTATTTTCTGTCGCCAATGCTCTAACGCGCTCTGTCTTCAGCAGTAGTTAATTACTCCATTGATTAGGTACAATAATCAATGTTAAAGAAACCATCAATTTTATTGTCAGAAAAAAAAAGAGAAGCCATCAAAAAAGTTTTTTGCTAGAAATGATAATTTCATATAAGACGGATTTAATCATTCAAACTACTTCAGTTTTAAAACACTTGTCACTGCCTCATTCAAAATTTAGGAAATCTTTAGTCCAAAAGAATATGCAATGTTAGCATTCTAAATTTTGTAAATTTAATGAATTTTTATCTAAAACTTGTCTTGTAATCTAGACCAAAGATCATTTTTTAAATACAAGATTGAATTTTTGAACCAGAAAAAATCTATACTATATAAAAGTTGAGGCTATAAGCCTCTGAGAGCGTCCACATAGGATTAAAAGACGCGATTTTATTGGTCCACATAAGCATCTCCAAAATTAAGTAATTTTCAATTTTATACAACCAATAGTTTCATTCCACATCATCATATAAATTTAATTATAGTATTTGTAAAATTAATTGATTTCCTTTTTATATTTTCAGAAAATTTCCTAATTTAAGGGCATTATTTATTTTCGTATTAACTAATTTATTAAATAAGGAAATTATATTTTCAAATACCAATGAAAAGAAACTAATATATAAACAATTTTTAAATTTGTAATATTTTTTTTTAATAACTCTAATATATAACTGATTTTAAATTAAGAAACCTCACAGTTCCAAAATAATTAAACAAAGTGCTTCGATTTTTGTTAAAACTTAAATTCGATTTAGTAATATATTTGAAAGATTTATACAAAAATATTTTAAGAGAATATAAAAGTTGAGGCTATAAGCCTCTAAAAGTGTCCACATAAGATTTAAAGACGCGATTTAATTGGTCCACATTAACATCTCCAAAATTAAGTAATTTTTCCAATTTTAAACAATCAATAGTTTCATTCCACATCATCATATAAATTTAATTACAGTCTTTGTAAAATTAATTGATTTCCTTTTTATATTTTCAGATAATTTCCGAATTTAAGGGAATTATTTATTTTCGTATTAAATAATTTATTAAATAAAGAAATTATATTTTCTAAACCAATAAAAAGAAACTAATATATAAACGATTTTGTAAATTTGTAATATTAATTTTTTTAGTAACTCTAATATATAACCGATTTTAAATTATTAAACTTCAAAATTCCAAAATAATTAAATAAAGTGCTTCAATTTTTGTTAAAATAGTAACTATATTTGAAAGATTTATACAAAAATATTTTAAGGGAACTACTATATTAATTATGAAAAATTATATGGTGAGTTTTCTTTTTTAGCTAACTTAAAAAAAAAAAAACAAAAAGAGAAAGTTACACCCTAATAAGTAATAACTGAAAGATTTGTTCAAAGTAAATATAGCCAACTTTGCAAGTGAGTGGATATTAACATTACATAATCTAGATATGAAATAATAAAAAAAGATAAAAAATAATAATAATAAAGACGGCTAATGTCATGAAGAAGACATTTAAATTCATGTGTAGTTCCTTTGAGATGATAAGAGAGATCAAGTTTTGCGAGATCCAACTTACATTGGGAAAAGAAAAATATGCATATAGCCCACTAAATTACACTTTATTTATCACAAGAATTTCAACAATATTGGTCAAACAAGTAAAGACTAGACTTGCATTGCAAAGGAGAGTTCTTGGGAGATTTGATAATCCATCTCATACTACATTTGTCCAAGGAAACATTCCAAGTTGCATTATCACAACAAGATTTTCCATTTCAGATTATAATGCATGCCAAATAGAGAGGGTAAAGAGAGTCTGCTTTCTTAGCTGAACTTCGGGCATCACTCATTCATGGGCAATTGGGCATTCACAACTTTAAAGAGGATTTTATCTTTATGTAAATCACAATATTCAAATAGGAAAAGTTTATGGGCCTTCTACAAATGCAAAAAAATCCAAAGGTAGAGAGGAGTAGATAATAAAACTATTGGAGACAGAGTAGTCATCTTTTTTGCACCTTGAAGAAGTTTCAATGAAAGGTGTTCGCTTGCCGCAACTTCGTTGAAAAAAAGACTGAATCACAAATTCATATTATAAAATACCATATGAAGAAGATATGGAATAAGAACAATAAGAAGATAAAAATGAAGAACATCGAAGACGAAGATACCAAAATAGAAAGACAAAAAAAAAACCAAAGAAGAATAAAGTAGAAGATGGAAACACCGAATCTGAAACCACGTAGATGAAATTGATATATAAGGAATCAAATAAGAACAGAGGAGAATAAACCAAACAAGAACGAAAAAGAAGAAGCAAGACGAGCAAATACGAAGAAGATCAAAGTAGATGATGAGTGTAGATGAGTGAATATAAGTGAAGATGAAGAAAAAACGAAGTAATTAGTATACTTACACTTCTACGGAGAAGATTTGATAATCCATCTCATACCACATTTGTCTAAAGAAGAAGCAAGACGAGCAAATACGAAGAAGATCAAAGTAGATGATGAGTGTGGATGAGTGAATATAAGTGAAGAGGAAGAAAAAACGAAGTAATTAGTATACTTGCACTTCTACGGAGCAGATGAGAGTTCAAGGGAGATTTGATAATCCATATCATACCACATTTTTCTAAGAAAATATTCCAAGTTGCATTACAAAAACAATATTTTGTGTTCCATATTCTAATGCATGCCAAACAGAGGATAAAAAGAGGCTGCTTTCTTAGCTGAACTTCGGGCATTCATTCATGGACATCTTTCACAGCCTTAAGGAAGATTTTATTTTACTGTAACTCACAATATTCAAATAGGAAGAGAGTACCAGCCTTCTACGGATGCCAAAAAATCCAAGGGTGGAAAGGAGTAGACAATAAAACTATTGGAGACAAAGTAATCATCTTTGTTGCACCTTGAAGGATTTACAGTGAAGAGTTCTCATTTGCCACAAGTTTGTTGAAGAAAATGGCTGAATCATATACTCAGACTGAAAAATGACATATGAAGAGGATATGAAAGAAGAACATTAAGAAGATAAAATTAAAAATTATCGAAGACGAAGATACCAAAGTAGAAAGAAAAAAAAAGACCCAAAGAATAACAAAGTTGAAGACGGAAACACCGAATAAGAAACCACGAAGATGAAATTGAAAATTAAGAATTAATCAAAGAAGAAAGGAGGAGAAGAAACCAAAAGAGGAAGCAAGACGAGCGAAGACGAAGAAGAGCAAAGAAGATGAGTGAAGAGACCAAAAAAACGAATAAGAATAAATAAAAAGAAAAAGAAGCTACCAATTTAGAACAAAGACGACAAGCCAAATTATAAGGTTTTTTTTTTCACAAGTTTCTAATACGGTTCACTTAAAAACAATGTTGGTTCAGGCTGATCATGTTGTCATAATATTGAAAAAGAAAAGTTTGGGATCTATTCTTATGTCGAATTTTATGAAGCAATTGACAAAACATATAAATATTAAGAAATGTGAGGATAGGGCTATTGTATGTTTTTTACAGAAAATACGTTTTTAAAAAGTACCTTACTTATTATGATTAATTATAAAATAATTAAATTGGTAAAGTAAAAAAATAATTAAAAAGTATATTACAAAGATAAGTTTATAAAAAAACAGCAAAAAATAAAAAATTGTGAAGCTTTGGAAGAAAATAAATTTAAATATAACAATTTAAAAAATCATTAGAACAGACCCGCGCGTGCGCGGGTCAAAAACCTAGTAATAATACAAGATTGACTAGTTTTATTTAGTCGGTCGAAACGATTAATCATATTGTCCGAGTTTTTACAATAAAATTCAATTGATAAATGTATCATTCTCGGATTATAAACCTTTTTAAATTTGACCACGTTATTTTCAGAAGGGATGCTTGCGATGAAAAATAAAATAATGTTCTTTATGCAAAAGTAATATAATGGCCACGTATATAATTCATTTTCTAGTTGAATGATTGCGTGGAATAATTAAACAAAAGGATATGCCTTGTTGGCGATTCCTTATAGATCCAATATTAACCTTACGGCCAATGAAGATCGAGCAAGTTGCAATAATTTTCTTGTGATTGTAATCATTTCTTTTGTATAATTTGATACTCAATAAACAATAGGTCGACGTTGACAATAGAAAAGTAACACAGATCGACGAATATTTTGCCAAGCAACTCCAAACATATAGTATAACCAAATAGGACAACAAAAGGGATTAATGAAATACTTTCGAAGCAAGATTTTAACGAACAATTAATAAAATGATATGCATACTCTATTCAAAGTTCTTACAACACTAAAAAACAGAATAATCGAAATCTCGTGTTTTGTAAAACATGTTTAGGTCTATTGGTTGAAAATAAGTTGTTTCGGTGTGGCAGATTCAGACTCAGGTTCAGGTACATAGAACCGTAGAGATATATTTGTGCATGTATGATCATCAATATAATTTTTGTTGAACTAATATTATCATTAATCCATATCCGAGACCTGATTAAAGGCCAAAATGTTCCATGTAAAACAGAAATTGTAACTGGATATAATATTAGTCCGTCATATCTCTAAATCCACCATATCACATGTCTTTATAGTTGTTTAGGAGAATGTAGTGCATGTTAAGATCTTAATCTCTTATATCATCGTTAATTCTTAGCGTACATACTAGTATATTCTAGAAGAACATGTCTTAATATAAAGGATCTGAAAGATCTTGCACGTTAACTTTGATCCAGTACTTTGAACCCTATATACAAAGCATACATATATAATTACAAAAAATTACAAATGTCAATTATGTAGCCGTCATATAAAACGTGTTCACATTGTCGGATGAGCAATCTTTTTTCTTTTGTTAAAGAAATGATGGGAAAATTTCAAAGTGTGTTTCACGTGGAGGATAGATTCACAACTCATACACAGAGCGTCAGAGCGAGACAGATTCGTAAATGTGTCCTTGATCGGTTTTGGACAAAAATGGCCTTTTAACATTTCAATCTATTTTCATACTATATCTTTTTGAACTCGTGTTTCTCGATAGTTCGATGACGAAAAGTCGTGTTGATATTAAGAATGTATAAGTTGGGAATTATATGGGTTAAGTCTGGGATTTAGTGTAATTTAATATAGGTCAACTCCAAACTTGACGTATTTATATACAGTATACAGAAAAATAAAATAGATGTTATGATAATGTAAGACAGTAATAGAAATACTGACTGATACATATGTAAAGCAAGATATTGACGTGACTTGACTTTGCACACAAAAATCTGACAAGAGAAATTAAAGACAAAAGAAGTTCCGGAAGTGAAGGGCCATCACACAAAAGCCGACCCGACTAGCCAACAAAATTCCAAGAAATCAAAATTTGCACAGGTGATCAGAAGTCAGAACTATAGTAGATTGGGTTTCTAGCCTCTATAGTTTTACAAAAACTTTAAATTTGACTTTTACTTTTCAGTTGATTGTGGATCACTACAAGAACAAAATACAAACTTTACCTTTCAAGCTACAATCATTCAGAAATAAGTAGTTTCCAGTTTTTGAAGGAAACAAAAGGCAGTAGATAGATAAAGAAACTAGACCAGAAATAAAATCATTTTGAGCTTACGAAAAAAACACTAAATTTAATTAATGTAACCTAATAGGGCATAATACAGAAAGCCCAGTTAATATGCATTTGGATTCAAGCCTCAGATCATTAAACCCAATGTAAATAGTAATCTAGGTCCTGACTGGGCCTATGCCTCTGAGAGCCAAAATGAGTTTATTCTGTTTTCCTTTTTGTGTTAGATCATTGTATTTGGTAGAAGATTTAAACAAACTCAGGATGTCACTCAAATGTCAAGGCTATCTCTATCATCTACAATGTAGTTATTTATCTGAATGGTTGGTTTCTTATAACCGGAATTATGATACATAAGCATCTACAAAATCCTGTCAAACTATAAACATATAACCCACTAGCCATGCAAATATAAGCTTATTAATTATTACCAAGATTTTTTTAACAAACTTATGGTAACCCTGGTCCCGCTTTCGCGATGAAGAATCAGAAGCATAAATAATTTAACTTGTTAAAGTTTTCCACAAAAAAATTGTACTAAACAAAAAGAGTTGGTAATGACACGCACATTCATGTCGTTTTTCGAATGATTGTACCTTGTTTGTTATTCTGAAAGTGATTAATATATAGTGCAGATGATTAAAATAATTGAAGATCATTTCACGCCTATATTATTCCAGTCGATGACACGTAGTTGAAAATTAAATGTAATAAACTTGTGAGCGGATTGACTATGAAAAGATCAGAAAATAAATAAAACAGTCAAATTAATATTATCATAACGTAGAAACATAAATAGAATTGAAATGTCAGCACTATAGTTGGCCCGCCGACGACTGTTTAGTGGTTACAACTTCATTTTATAAATAAGGTAGGACCGTCTCGAATCTTAAGTGGACCAAAACCTAAATTAAGTAATTAAGCTTAGGCCAATATAATTAATTGTCACTAGTAATGGAAAGCGTGGCAGACAGCAATCCGTTAAATCAGGTTTTTAATACAGCTTTATAAAGAAAAAAACTAACACTATTATGTAATTTTAACGAATCTATTTATGCCAATTGGCTAATTGTGGAAAACCAAATTTGTATCAGAATTTGAAACTGAATGATCACCACTAGTTGGGAGAAAAACGAAAAATGATCACCAATAACTATTTTCTCAACAAAAAAAAAAAAAAAAAAAAAAAAAAAAAGTAAGTAACTAGCGATGAGTGATGACCATGTTAGTTTTTCAGCCATCATAGTAATCAACTAATCATAGCTATAATTTATAATAGACGCATAATATAATCAATCTATAAATCTAAAGCTGTTTGTTTTTGTGTGTAATAATTGTAATTGTAACAATTAAATTGTTATTCATCGTACATGGCCTACATGTCTAATGATTTGGTTTGCCGAATTTATTATATTGAGCCGTTGATCGTGGTCTGATCTCGACGTGGAGGCTTCTGTACAAGTATTTTAAGTATCCTTTTTATCTACAATATTTTTATTTACTGAAATAAAAAGGAGCAATAAAAAGTGATACGTATGAAATCTACAAATCATTTATCACACAAAAGTACATTTTTGTTTTCTGTGAGAGTGATAAGTTTACGATCCAAAAGCCAAGTCCACTATAAATATTTAGAAATCTTTACTTATCATGTAAATTCTACAATGGAGAAGAAACAAAAAATTGATGAGTGACTGTAATTACTAAATAACGAAAACTCACGTGCAAATTTGTTTTTTGGATAAATTTCAACTCGTATATTTGAAAAGAAAATGCTAAGATTATTAAGAAAATTATTAACTTAAAACGTATGGTGGGTGAATACTAATTAGAGACGATAATGGTGAGACAAGATATTGAGGTTCAGCAAAGCTAAGTTCCGCATCATCATCTCTTGAAGCTATAAGGGCAAGGCTTTAATGACTGTCATTTAAAATGTTTGGGCAATGGTTTTGATAACATGATCTTTGAAGGTGATTATCTGATTCTTGATAAACTAATTCAAGGAGAAGCTAAAGATGTTTCAGTGACCAATTTCATTGAAGACCTCTCGGATTGGATGTGTAAAATCATGTAAAACATGAAATGTAATAAAGCAGCAGCACATGCTGTTAACTAGGAAATGTATAGCAATATTTTTTTTGGGATGAATTTACTCTCCAAATTCACGAACTTCTACTCTGTATCAATAATATAATTTATGTTTTGTCCAAAAAAGTTATGGAGTCGCATAATTTTATCTTTATTATTGAAACAACATAGGAATTGAAAATAAATCATACTGTTTGTGGAAAATAAGCTTAGCTGACTCGTCTAGCAATTATCGTCCGAGTAAAACATGCTTAGCTGTTTTTTTTTGTTGGTCAGAAAAGAGCCTTTTAAAACATGCTTATGGTGTATTTTTAAGACAAAACATGATAGTAACATTTTTCTCTAAAATATTTAACCTTTAATATTAAAAATCAAATATATCTTTGACAAGAACAACATAAATAAAATGTAACATTCCTTTTGTTTCTCTCATCTTTGTTCCAAGATTATGTATTTCACTACAATTTGACGCTTAATTCAACATATCAACCACCATCAACTATAAACAATATCCTCAAAAGGACAAAAATCTCTAAAAACAGTGAGCTAGTTTTCCTAAAAAAACTAGTATTATTGAGTCTGAAAAGTTTTTAAACTATATTTTACCCCCAAAAACAGTTTTCAAAACTATTTTGTTATGTTGGAGCCTGGAGGGAAAGGAAACTATTCTTACCATAAGAAACCAATTAATTTTGACCAAAAAAAAAAAAGAAACCAATTAATTTAATTTTTATCTAGCTACTGTGTATACAAAAAAAAAATCCGTGACTGTTGTGGCGGCAGGATGCTTTCCAACGTGTACAATAACCATTGGCTATCACAATCCCACTTATTAAAATCTTTTGTTGCCGTTCCTTTCACCGGCCGATTTAAATCCCAACCTGCAAAAATCTCTTCACTTTCTCACTCCCCTGAACCTTTCTCTCTCTCTCTCGTCATCGCCGGAAAAAAAAAAATGTCAGAAGAATTCGCGATTCGAGTGGAGCAAGGTCTTAAACTCTCCCGACGGATATACTACGGCAAAGGAATCACTCTCCCTCCAGTCCCGGATCCTGACTCATCGCCGGAGAATTTTCTCCCGACGGCGATTACCGCCTACGCTTCAATCACAGATCCGGTGGCTGTAGATAACCCCGATGTCCCGAGTTACCAGCCGTACGTGCACGCACGTTGCGATCCGTCGGCGCTCGTGCCGCTTCAGATGCTCGGAATAGAGATGAGAGTAGACTCCTGGCTCGACACGGCTTTCGTCACCGTCACCGGACGGTGGCGCGTTCACTGCGTTATGCCAAGCAAACACTTTGACTGCTGCATCGCTGTTCCCATGGGAGAGAAGGTAAAAAAAAATTTCTTACAAACAAAACCGACAAAATCTACTTTATCTATCTTTTTTTCTCTTTCTTTCCATTAATAGCATTTTTATATTCGAGATATTTTTATTTTTGGGGTTTAGATTATTGAAAGAAGACATTGATTCTTTTTTGGTAATAACAGGGATCAGTTCTTGGTGCTGAGATTGATGTTCTGACCAATGAGAAATCTTACAAGACCAAACTTGTTACAGAGGAGGAAACTTCTGACTTTGATAACGTTCATAAAGACAAAGATTCTCGTTTCTTGAAGTCTCAAATCTACACTTTCAAGATCCCACATGTTAGTTACAGTTAGTTAGTTAGTTACTTACTTACCCTCTTTTGCCTCACTATTTTTGTGTAAATTTTTATTTGGATTAACTATTGATTTGAATTAAATGTTGATTAAATTTATAGGTTGCTGGAGGATCAATATTTTCGGTTAATGTGAATTGGTCACAGAAGTTGATATACAGAGAGGGAAAGTTTCATCTCAATGTGCCTTTTAAATTCCCTGCTTATGTGTTTCCTGTAGGAAAAGCAGAGATTAGTAAAAGAGAAAAGATTGTTTTAAATCTTAATTCTTGTGTTAATGGCGGTGAAATAGCCTGCAGCTATTCAAGCCACCCTTTAAAGGTATTTATTTTATTACATCAACAAAAACTTGAGATTGATAGTACGGATTGTGTTAATGTGTGATAGATAATTCTCAGGTGATTCACCGTGAAACTGGTAAATTAAGCTGTGAGTATGAAGCTGAAGTATCATCTTGGTCAAGAAATGATTTTGGAGTTTCATTCGATGTGAGACTTTCTTGATCTTCAAGAAGCATTTTTGTATAGCTCTGCTTCTCCTCCTTCTGCTCAAATAGATTGGTCTCTTCACAGGTTTCCTCTGGTGATCTTAGTGGTCATCTTTTGGTTAAGTCTCCATCTCCATGGGATTCAGATGACAGAGGGATTTTCTGTTTGTACCTTTTCCCTGGAACCACTAAGCATAAGAAGGTTTTTTGTTCTTGCAACTTTGTGACTTCTATCACTAATGAATCTTCTGCTTACTGAGACATGATCAAATGCAATGTTATTTATCTGTAGCTATTCAAAAGAAGAGTTGTGTTTGTGATTGACATAAGTGCAAGCATGAAATGGAAGCCGCTAGAGGATGTGAAGAAAGCCTTGTTAGAGTCTTTAGCTAAGTTAGAAGCTGAAGATGTTTTCAACATAATTGCTTTCAATGACGACATTTTAGAATTCTCAACGTCAATGGAGTTTGCAACTGATGAAACTATCACTGCTGTGACTGAATGGCTTGATAGTAATTTAGTTGCAAGTGGTGGAACAAATATGATGCTTCCACTCCTAAAGGTCCTTCCTCTATAGTCTCCTTAATCATTTTTTTGAGACATAAGTCTTCTTAGACTCTTCTTCATGTGTGTGTTTAGGCTATGAAACTTCTTGAAGGAAGCAACATTGGAGTGCCTCTTGTATACCTTGTCACTGATGGATCTGTTGAAAATGAGAGAGAGATATGTATTGCCATGAAAGAATGTTGTAGCAGAAACGATACATCAATTTCTCCTCGGATCTCTACCTTTGGCATTGGTAAGTAATTTGCTTGCTTGCTTTGTCTCTCATATATAAGTATCAAAATCTTGATTTGTATAAAACAAAATTCCTCCAGGTTCGTTTTGCAACCAATACTTCTTGCAAATGCTAGCGAGGATAGGGAATGGTTACTATGATGGCACCAACAATACAGGTAAAATTATAATCACCACTGTTACTAGTAATTTCGTAATCAAGAAACTAAAAACTTTCTTGCTTTGTTACACCTAGCCAGATTCATTCGAGCATCAGATGACTAGACTATTTGATTCAGCTACTACAACAATCGTAGCTAATGTCACTTTCGATGCTCTAAAACTCCTCCGCTCAGTCGAGGTACTTCAAAAACAACTTCAATAACAATAACATCAAGTTCTTGGACTTTCTTTCTTGAATTCTTGACATTCTTGTTGTCTATTGCAGCTGTTTCCTTCTCAGATTCCAGACATTACGCTCGGTCAACCATTGATATTGTCTGGAAGATACAAGGGAGAGTTCCCAGATGAAGTTGAACTCAGAGGCACATTGGCTGATATGAGCTGTTTCACAATTGAGTTAACAGTGCAGAAAGCTAAAGACATTCCTCTAGACAAGGTTCTTGCGAGGAGGCAAATCGATGAACTCACTGCTCGAGCTTGGTTCGAAGACAAGAAAGAGCTAGAAGAAAAGGTGTATAGATTGTGATTTGACATTGTTGGTTCTTGTTAATATCTTCTAAACTAATTTCATCTGTTTTCTTGATCATTAGGTCACGAGATTGAGTATACAAACAGGGTTTCCAAGCGAATACACGCAAATACTTTTATTACTCATAAACAACGACGAGGAAGAGAAGACAATAGGGAGACCAGTTTCAATCAAAGAGATTATTAGGAACCCTTCGTACCAAATCCACAAGCAGATGCAGAGGAACAGCGAGAGAACGAGTTTGCTTGGGAAGCAAGGTTTTGGGTTCGGTAACTTGGTGGCGACGTTGAAGAACGTGCCACCGTGGATGGAGGAGCCGAAGGAGCCGGAGGGAGCGGAGATTCTGTTAGTAGCGGCGTCGGGAGTGGTGGATCGTGTTTGTTGTATGTGTTGCTTGCGGTGCGTTTCAAAGATGAGCGATCAGTGCACCATCGTCTTCTCTCAGCTTTGTGCAGCATTGGCTTGCTTCCAATGTATTGGTTGCTGTTTCGAAGTCTGTGGCTGTCTTGACCTCTAAAAATGTAAGAAACACAGAATAAATATTGAGGAAATGTAAATTCAATAATGGATTTACTTTCTTGAGAAGAAAAAGTGAAAATAATGTGTGATATTTGTATGTGTAATTAGAGTTGTAATGTTTGATAATACAAGACTAATGTAGATGACTAGTAATATACATACTCATACTTCGGTAGATTTCTTTGTTTTAAAACATGATGTTTGATTTTTATTTGGCTAAATAACGTGTGAATCTTGGTAATACCATGATACATAGTTAAAATACAATGTCTAATCTTGCACATGCCTATGCGTAAATAGAGTTGTGAATCTTTCACTGTCACATGTTCAGTTCACTCTCCTACCAGAAGATGTTCAGTAAAGTCAGGTCTTTAGGCAATGAAGCAAGTGGTAAAGAGAAAACTAAGTCTTCACTCAAATCTCCTTATATTCATCCCTCCTTGCAAGAATGAGTGAAGAATTAGTTCTTGTTCATACCTTTTTTATTTAATTAATCATGTAATGGTAATTATATTCATACATAATTGCTGACAGTAATTAAATAGCTGCTTGTAGAATCTATACATTTGAATCCAGGCCAGCTGTATTGTGATCTTGATGGTAAGCAAATATATAGATATGCGAATTACAACTAAGCAATTACTTTACTTTAGATATGTACAACAAATGTTGGGAAGAGGATCATATCACATCCAAATTAAAATTCGGTGCTTAGGTTCAAATACTGACGAAGAACAAGTACCAATAAACCAATAGACAGTAAACAAAATCCAACATTATTTTCTTATTATCTACTGGAATTTTTTGACTTGGAGACAAACAAGATTTCAGATCCAATGAGAATGACTTTATATATTTAAATAGTAATAACAGTGATTTTATTGAAGAAGGGAGAGTTGAGTAGATTGAGAAAGTAAACGGAAGAGATAAAACATTCCAGAAATGGAAACTTTTGGTAGACTAATGGAAAGTTTACAAAACACAAAGACACCTCGTCGTGCTCACTCCATGTGCTTCCCCATTTTTCTTCTTCTTTCTTCTCTTCTCATCTCGATGTGGCTTCCTCTCTCTAATCAAGTAATTTAAACCCTTTATCGTAATTTTATTTTGACAAATTTTCCTCATTTTTTTTTACAATTTTCCTGTTTAAGAAAAAAAAATTCGTGACCGGTTTTTTTAGCCATGTAGACATGACTTTTTCTCCATGTTTTATCTAAGGATTAGATTGAGTTTCAACCAAACTTATCTCAGTTACGAACTTAAAAATAAAACATTGCTTTCTGAGTGAATTGCATGCTGACGAGTTGCATGACGATTAGTTCATGTGTATAATATAGTACATTAGTACTTTTTTGGTCAAGTTATAGTACATTGATACTTACAGCATTTTGACCAGTACACTTGCAAATTAGCAAATATATAATTTAGATGCCCTACACGTGTTCTGTTTAATATCACAAAGACATCTCAAAACCTCACTTTTTTGTTGCTAATCACGATTAACAAATGTTTAAGGCAACGTATCAACCATAGAAACCACACATTTTTGCAATAATGACTGTTCAAGTGGTCCTCTACAAATTCCTCATTTTCCTCCCAATTTTTTTATACCAATGTACCAATTATAAATCTTATACTACTCTTGACGCATGCGTCTTAGAGTCCAGTCGCCACAAACACTCCGATATTATTAATGTTTAATAGTACATGACTAATCTTGATTTTGCTAAAGATACTGACTAATAATACAATCAAAGGAGATCAGAGAGAAGAAGGCGATAGAAGACGTTGAAGTAAGAACAAAGTTTCACGGCGACAAATAAGATATGCATGTTTCCTCCAATGATGTTTGTTCATTTGGTAGCATGAAACGCTATTGGACTTACATGATTCCCTTAAAATATATTAATTTGATTATACATAACCCTTTATCCATTATATTGATATATTACATCTATAGTAATGTGACCAATATATTTGATTACCATAAATAAATTAGTTTCTTTCAAATGGTATACGTATAATTTGAGCATAACCTATGCAATCTGTTGGTGGAAGCCTCATTAGCTCAGTGGTTGGCAAATTCACTAATGGCTTATACACCAAGAGATATGAGTTTTAATTTTCAGAAGATGCGATTTCAGCAGGTTCCTGGAGCAAGATTCACATAAAGAAGACATGTGCAGATAAGAAAAAATTTCAGAACGAGTGTAAAATAGCTATTCATGGTAAGTTTACATAAGGATGAATCTTGATAGAATAGTTAATTATCCGTTACTGGTTGGCCTTGTAATTGTCTTCTTAGACGATATAAAAAAAAATCTATGCAATCTGTCTTGGATTTTGGTGCATCATCAGTCAGGAGACTTCGTTGGCTACATGGGGCTAGTGCATGTGAAACTGTTAGTAGCCGTTGAAAGTCAACCCGACCCGCACTTGGACAGTTGGACCCATCAAACCTTTAACCATTTGTTTGTTTTCTTATCTCTTTTCTCTAGTACCATGCCAACAAATTGCAGGTGTTTTTTTACAAGTGTAATTAGTAATTACGTAAACTAGGAAAGATTTCGAAAACATTTTAACGAAGTAAAAAAATGTAGTTAAATCTTGGATTAAAATTTGATTTTGTTTTGTTTTTTACTAGATTAAGCTTAAATACCTCTATATCTAATTGAATGGTGTTACATTTTGTGTTATATTGTTCTATTTTTTATATAACAATGTTATACAATATGGCAGTATTGGTTGATTTAACATATACCATCATAATTCGAATTTAGTTATTCCAAAGTTACGTTTGCCTAACTATAATAATTCTAATTTTTTCACTTTTATATTTGTTGGTATATGCAAAATGACCTCTTTTTACATACAAACACAATTAATTTAACAAAATTGGTTTGATTTCAGACAAGTGGACAAGGCATAGGAAGGCACAACGTGGCGAATGTTCATTGGACCTGAGTTCACGTGATTGGGAGTGGTGTGGTGGGCTCAAGTCTCCGATGATAAAGCGAAACTGCTTTTTATTGCTTTCTCTTTGTCTCCTTCTTCCTCTTTTTTTTTTTTTTCTCAGTATTATTAACTCCCTAAACACTCCCCTATATTATTAACTCACGGATGAGGTAAAAATCTAAAGTTCCAAACCATGGTATAACTCAAAATCTTGATTGTTAGAGTGGAGATATCACAACTTGACAAGTTGAAAAAAATACTTCATTCCCTAACCTTTGTTCAAAAGGAAACAAAAAAGCTTCATTTATGAATTATGAAATTACCAATAGATCAACAATCGATATTGCTAGATGTGCACAAACTTGGTGAATTCATATCCACAATAAATTCTGAGGTTAGTATGGACTTCATAAGGCCATGTAATACTAACGTGGACCATGAACAGTAGTGTTATTTATGGATGATTAGATTAAAAAGCGTTACATGCACGCCCATAAAATATGATCCAATTTGATGGAAACTAGAGATAAAGAGTGTAGATCATAGAGTGCTAAGAGATGAGAAATCCAGAAGGTAAGGAGACAATGGCATGAGTTTCTTCGTGGGGGTTGCTTTTAAAATTTCACTCTTTCTTTCTGTCTCTTTCCCTCTTAGATTCTTCTGAAATTCTCTAGAATTTGATATTAGCCTTACAATAAGAGCTTACAAATCACCATATATGAGAATTTTTGTGGATTAAAAATTCGAACGTGCATTGTTCTGGACAATAAAATTATAGGGATTTTGAAACAAAATAGTTAGGTTTTGTAGTTGTCAATATAAGATCATATACTTATTTATTAAGAAACTAGTGTATTTTCACCCGCATGCACTAAGCCAAATAATAATGGCGAATCTTGCGTGCACCCTATTACAAAAATAAGCCAACATATCCCATACAAGAAATCTATTAAAAATGAGAAAATCACACACAAATAACAAAATGTGTAGAAGCCTCTATATCTTCGTGTCAGCATAGTAACCATACAATGACGGTACAAAGCTTTTTCTAGGGATTCAACTTAAATTTTCTTCTCCTTTTATAGATAGTCGAAAAATGGTAAAAATAAATTTGGGACTTTATGATGAAACGAAGTGCCGTTATATGAATCGTGATCAAAGCCGTGATGTTCTCTCCGATACAGAACTAATATTTTTATAATACTCCACTAATTATTAATTAAAAGAATTAGAAATTAAATACACACGGAAGAATGTTTCTTTGGACATCGATCGTTTGCATGGGGATATGAGTCGTACGTTGTGACCTGTATAAAGAAGACTCTGAGAAAAGGCTTTATCTGATAAACCAAAACCAACCAACTCGGAGATTATTTATAAAAAAAAAGTTTTTCTTCTTCTTCTTCTTCTACATTTCTTATTTTCCTCCCTTTTGAAGAAGTGAATCTGGACGTAGAACTAAGACGGTCCATTTTGGAACTTGAACCATCAATTTGACAAAAAAGAAAATCTAAGTTCTTTAAAATTTTCACTTGTATTTAAGCTTCTTGATTCACCATAAACCCGATTATTTATTTTCGTTTTTTTCTTTACATTTTCCTCCTCTCCTTCTTCTTGGTCATTAAGACATGAAGGTTCGTTTAATCACTCATATGATCTCGTGTTCATTCATTTGTCAGATAATGTAACATGGTTACTCATAAAATGGTTTATGTTTTTTTTTTCAGTTCTTCGGGTGGATGCAGAACAAGCTACATGGGAAACAAGTGGTTACTCATAGACCTAGCATATCATCTGCTTCTTCTCGTAAGTTCAACATCACACAAATAAGATTCTACTGTTTACCTATTCGTTGAATTTTTTTTTTTTTATTACCAAAGTTGTTGTCTACTTGGGACATGTGAAGTTGCAAAATAACAACAATTCTCCTTTCCATTGATTGGCTCTCTGATAGATTTCTTTTGTTTTATGTAATCAAGATCAACCAAGAGAGGAGTTTAGCGATTGGCCTCACGGATTACTAGCGATTGGAACGTTCGGTGGTGTGAACAAAGAGCCAACACCACAACAACTTGATCAAGAAGTAATTATTCAAGAAGAGACGTCATCTAACGTGCACGTGGAAATTGAAGCGCAAGATCTTTCTTCCTCGGACGATCTAGAAGATTTCACTCCCGAGGAAGTTGGGAAACTTCAAAAGGAGCTGACGAAACTCTTGACAAGAAGGAGCAAGAAGAGGAAGTCCGATGTGAATAGAGAACTTGCGAATCTTCCTTTGGATAGATTCTTGAATTGTCCTTCTAGTCTTGAGGTCGATAGACGAATCAGCATCGCGCTTTCTCGTTGTGGGGATTCTGATGAGAAAGAAGAAGATATCGAGCGTACGATCAGTGTTATACTGGGAAGATGCAAAGCGATTTCTACAGAGAGCAAGAATAAGAAGAAGAAGAGTAAGAGAGAATTGAGCAAAAACTCTGTTTCTTATCTTCTTAAGAAGATGTTTGTATGTACAGAGGGTTTCTCTCCTGCTCCTAACCCTAGCTTGAGAGACACGTTTCAAGAATCAAGAATGGAGAAGGTAAATACTAAAGTTCATATAGCACTATATTTGGATGCTACAGTGTTTGGTTATTGTTTCATATATCTTATTATATTCACTGCATTTACAGTTGCTGAGGACGATGCTACACAAGAAGATTAACACTCAAGCTTCTTCAAAGCAAGCATCAACGAAGAAATACGTGCAAGACAAGCAACAGCTTTCATTGAAAAATGAGGAAGAAGAAGCAAGAAGTAGCAGCGATGGTGGTAAATGGGTCAAAACAGATTCTGATTGTGAGTTTCAGATCTTTTGATTTCTTAAATTCAAAACAGCAAAAAACTACATGAACTAATTCGATTTTCTTCTTCTTTTTTGTTGCAGTCATTGTTCTTGAGATCTGATTCACTTTTCCGTAATCTTCATATTCTTACAAGAAAGTACAGGTACTAATTATCCTGATCAATGAATCTTAGGTTCATTATCCTGAACAATGAATCTTAGGTTCACTTGCTTTGCTTCTAATGCTGAAACTGATATTAGATCTTTCTGTTTTTGCAGATAGAGAATCTACAATGATACATTAAGACAAAGAAAATTCAAACAGAAATGATCAATCAATTTTCTTTTCTTTCTGGTGAAAGTTTTTGGGTATCTATCATGCAGAGCCCATGAGTTTCTTTTTTTTGCATGGTTGGGTCCACAAAACCAAACATGTTCTGGAAACTAAAACATCAGATATAGTACATGAAATATTTATATGCGTGCATACATGTGTGTGTATAAAGATAGACACTTGTATACATATACATGCATGTAGTTGTGTATTTTCAGGTGGATAACCTTAGTTTATATAAAGACTTCCTCTTTTTCTTACGCTAATTTTCTGTCATTTTGACATGCTATTCTTCTTGTAACACAACAAGACAACTACACATTCTGATTAAATAGACTATTCTCTAAACCTTGTAATTATTGTTACCATTTTTGTAATTTTCTTTCTATGACCATATGTCACTACAAAAAAAAAAAAAAAAAACATAAATTACAATCTTAAATTGATATAAATGATAGACATTTTCTACACACCAAAAAAAGTACTCTATGGACTAGTTTGGTTCATGATTACCAAAAAAAAGAGGAAAGTACATGGGGATAACAATTTGATGAAGATGACCTACAAGTGCTCTTAAGTTTTCACTTATGTCAAGAAACGAGTGAAGCATTTTGTTTACAAATCAAATAGCACGTATGTTAACATTATATCTTCCCAAAATCCAAGTATATCTAAGATATTAATAGTGTTTGTAATAGTCTAATCACATGCAAGATATTTTACTAGCTAAAACCTACTGAACTAGAGAGTTTCAATAATCGAACTATCATATATTGATGTTCCATATCTTGATTCTTGGTATCATAGAGAGGTAGGGACTATTTCTTACGCTTGTCTCCCAAAAATGAAAACGAGTTTTCCATATATTTCAGAACACAGTGAATGGGCCTTTTGTGGCCCATTCTAAACCCTCTGATCCGTCTAGAGGCTTCACTGGTATAACCTTCGAACATCTGGAACGAGCAAGATGCAGACTTTTAACAGCCGTACGATCGAGCCATTGACACATCTCACTTCTCACTGACTTCCTCAGTCATCAAAACTTCCTTTCCTCTTCCTTCTTCTGCTTCTTCTCTCTTTCTCCAGATCTCTGCGAAGAAACCTGTTTCAATGTTGCTCCACCTTCTTCTCCTTCTTCTGCTATGCCTAACGTCTTCTCTAAAAGCGTCGGTGCATGAGTACCGAAGCGGGAGATTCATGACCAAAGGCAACGCCTTCGTCTTCCACGGCGGCAGCGAAGGCATCTACTCCTCTTCCCCCACCGACAATTTCACCTCCGACTCCGATTCCGTCTCTTTCATTCGGTAAATTCCAGCTCCCCGATTCCATTTCCGTAATTAAGCTTAATCCCATTAGTTTCCTCTTTTACATCTCCTTAGGATCTGAATTTTCGCAATCAGTACTCATTAGCGCAATGTTCGTCAGATTTCGTCACTTGGAGTAGCAAAATTGTTAGTAGACAAGTAATTTCGAGTTTGAAGCTGATGCGTAGAGTAATTTCGTTTGAGTTTGAGTGGCTTGTTTAGCTCCTTATTCTGACTTCTATGGCGAATGCATTGACCAGTTTTGAGAAGATCAAGTTCCGGCGATCGGAGGAAGTTTTAAACAGATCCTCATTACCAATCCACGCCGTGGTATTCGAGGTAGAAGACCGGGAAAACATCGGAGGATCAGCTTACGGTGGACAGAGAGCCGTCTGTTGCACATCCGATCTAGCGAAGCTCGGTGTTTGCTCGCACGGAGAGATCATTCATCATCCTTCCGCTAAAGATTCCGGATGGCCTCAAGTGTTTGGCGTTTCGTTGCCTGAGAACGAGTTGTATGCTACACTGCCAACAAGATCGATCCAGATCACGAGGACCGGAATGTATAATCTCTACTTCATCCACTGTGATTCTGATCTCAAAGATTTGGTTGTTGAAGGGAAGACGATTTGGAAAAACCCTAGCGGATATTTACCAGGAAGAATGGCTCCGTTGATGTACTTTTACGGCTTCATGTCGCTCGCCTTCGTGCTTCTCGGCGTCTTCTGGTTCTCTCAGTGCGCGAGGTTCTGGAGAGAAGTGCTTCCTCTGCAGAACTGCTTGACTCTGGTGATCACATTAGGGATGTGCGAGATGGCTCTTTGGTATTTCGATTACGCGGAGTTCAACGAGACCGGTGTTAGACCGACTGTGATCACCGTATGGGCGGTCACGTTTGGCTCTATCAAGCGTACATGTGCTCGTATCATCATCTTGATGGTTTCTATGGGGTACGGTGTTGTGAGACCTACGCTTGGTGGGTTTACTTCGAAGGTTGTCATGCTTGGGGTTACTTTCTTTGCTGCATCTGAAGTTCTTGAGCTGATGGAGAATGTTGGTGCTGTCAGCGATTTCTCAGGGAAAGCGAGATTGTTTTTAGTTCTTCCTGTTGCGGTATTGGATGCTTTCTTCATCATTTGGATATTTAAGTCTCTCTCTGCTACGTTCAAGAAGCTTCAGGCGAGAAGGTTGTTGGTCAAGTTGGATATTTACAGAAAGTTTACGAATGCTTTGGCTGTAGCCATTTTGGTTTCCGTTGGTTGGATTTGCTACGAGGTAATGTTAACAAAAAAACTGTCTTGGATCTCAATTAGAATCAGAATCAGTATAAGATCTGTGCTAAAAGTTGTTTACTTTTGGCAGCTTTATTTCAAGTCGAAGGATGTTTACAACGAACATTGGCAAAACGCTTGGATCATTCCGGCGTTTTGGCAACTTCTCTCCTTCTCGCTCCTAACTGTGATCTGTTCTCTTTGGGCTCCATCGCAGAACTCGACTAGGTAACACACATTTCCGAGAAGAACATATGTGAATAAAGCTTTAAAGGATAGAAATCTCATCAATAGCAATAGCGTCTAACCAATGATTGGACCTTCTTGTCTTCTTATAGGTATGCATTCTCAGGATCTGCTGGTGATACAACTGGGGAGTTTGAGAAGGACGATTACACACTAACTCTCATTAAGCCATCTCCAATTCCTTCTCAAGAAGTGAAGAAGCTCTCAGAAAGTAGACCTTTACAAGTTGACGAAGAAGAATCAGAGGAAGATTTGGAGGAAGACAAAAGGGAGTGAAGTAGTGAGAGAGTTGTTACAGTCATCTACTCGATGCTTCTTTCTCTTTATCAACACCTCAAAATTTTACTTGCATGTATTCTTTTAGGTCACGTGAGTTTAGTTTGTACAATACAAATGTCAAGAGACCAAAAGCAGCCCTTTGGCTTCGGTGTTGTAGTGTTAGTTTATGTGCTCTGTTTTTGTCATATTGTGTAACGTTTAATTCTCATTTACATGGAAGTTTGGTTTTTTTCTTGTAACAGATGCTTTGATCTATGAAGAATGGAGAAGACCAATACCAAAACTAATAATAGCAAATAAGCGTAAAATGGGACATGACACTGACACAATAAAGTTACATCATATGAACAAAAAAGAACATAAGCTAAGAATTTGGCAAGTAACCAAAACAGATACATCATAAGTTCATACAACATTACAAACTCATGAATCTGAAAATTCAAAATCAAAGTCGTATCAGTCCTTAATCTTTCTTCATCCGTCTCTTAGCTCTCCCCGCAAAGAACCGATTGCGAAAAGAATTCAAAGAATCTGTTTCTTTTCTCCTTTCCATAAAACTCTAAAAAAGAGTAAAAAACAAAAACAAAATACTTATCTCACTCTGATCGTCTTCTCAGATGCTGAGTTGCAGATAACCCCTCGAACAAGTCAAGAACCTCACTCTCAAGCTCTTCAACAGTGATCTTAATGTAATTCTCCGGATGTTTCCCACTCTCAATATGGCTCCTAAACCTCCCAAGAAACGACCTGTAAGCCGGACTAAGCTTCTCCAGTATCGAAATCTTCAGCTCTTCCCTGAGCTGAGAATCCGGAACCAACCACTGCGACTGAACCCTATGAACTTCCTCAAACAGAGCATTGAAAGATTTAAACCTCTCTCTCAACGCGCTTCTAGAGACTCCCGACGAGAAACTTCCTTTCGTATGCAATCCTTCGTCTCTCAAGCAATACAAGACCTTGACCCAAGCGGCTCTCTGGTAATACGTCGCCGCTTGCCGAAACTTACCCGTTAGCTTCCTCAGGTGGAGATCTCCGATCATTTCACGTAGCTCCGCCGAACCTTTTATCTTTTGGACGATGTAGTGCACGTTGTTCATGATGAAGAGATGCGATAACGCCGCGTCTCTGTAGTACTTTGATTTCCCTTCCAGATTGAAAACGAGGATCACTATGATCCAGATCAGATGGAGAGCTAACGGACCTTTGTTCTCTATCTCCGTGAAATCGATCTCCGGCGTGTTTGAATCGGTGGAGTTTCGCGACGGTTTCGACATGATGAGATCGATTAGCGTTGGTCTATACTCGGAGATTAGGCTGATGTAGTTCATCACGTACCTCGTCAATGGATGTATCGTTCCTCCGGGAACGGGGACTTTCGAAGGCTCACGGAGGACGGCGTTCTCGAATTCGGATAGAATCCCTCTCGCCGCTTCCGCTAATCTCGACAGAATCTCCGCCGCCTGGACCCTAATCGAATCGGAGGATTTCAGATCGAAAACCGATTCGATGTCTGGTAAAAGCTCGATCAACGCGTCGTGGAGATCGAGGATCTTGAAGAGCTTCTCCGGCGATCTCCGGCTGATGCTGATCGCCTCCGCGAAGTTGAAAAGCTGGATCGCCGGACCTTTGACGGTTTCCATGAAGCAGGCCTCGTGGATGTTGATGGCTCCGACGCTGTCGAACACATGCTCGCAGAGCAGCTTCTCGCTCGCGAACACCACTCTCACGCAGATCTTCGCCGCCCGGATCCACCGGCGGATCTTCTGCTCTAGCGCCTCCCAATTCAGCCTCTGGACATCGCCGATGCTAAGCTTCTCGATCCCTAACCGCCGGAAACTCGAATCGACGGCGGATTTGCGAACGCTTCCGTACACCTGAATGCACTCGCGGAGGTAACCGGCGGAGACCATACGCCGAGCAATCCAGCTCAGATACACCACCACGTCGATCGGAATCAGCTCGATCTCGCGTATGCTGCTGGTGGATCTACTGTAGCTACCTCTCCCCGTCGGCAACCGAACCGCCACTGAACCGGAACCGGTACTCGACCCGGTCCGTTTTAGAAGATCCGTCTCTTCTTCCTCCTGCTGATCATCTTCCTCGTTACTGTTACCATTATTACTGCTTCCGTCTTCTTCAACCTCCAGGTGAGCAGAGGAAGAGCAAGACGACAGCATTAGCGAATCGGCGTTGATCGGAGAGCTGTGAGAGACGAGGATATTCCGGAACTCGTCTTCGAGACGAGCCATGGCGATCTGGATTGCCGAATTAGCTCGGGTTTCAATTTCTCCGCCGGACGAAACAAACCGTTGGATTTCATCGACGGCGTGGAGGTAGAGCTTCACCTCCTGGGGATCGCTGAATATCATCTTCTCTCTAGCTTCCTCCGACGCAGTCGCGTCCCACCGCATAATCACCTTCTCAGCTGAGTCGAATCCGGAAACCGAACAGTCTCCGTCGCCGGTGACGTGGCCGTTGCTTTGCTCTTGCGACTCCATTATGGTTTCATACGAAAAATGTAAACAGAGAAGAAAGAAACAAAAAGCGTAAAATAGAGAGATTTTGCCTTTCTTATGGTAGGGACTGGAAAAAAGCAACAGTAGAATTTAGATGCTTTTCGTTTCTTAATTTAATAAAAAAAAAAAAAAAAATACAAATACATCCAAAATTATATTTCTCGATAGATGCTTTTAACAGCTCTTTAACCGCCATGCGAGGCGCCTTTTCAAGTTTTTACTTATGCTCAAAGCCTCAAATGTTTGATCAATAATACAAAATTTGACAAATACATATACCAAAATGTAAGAGACTGCGAATTTTCTACTTATGCTCAAATGTTACTAATTATCATAAGTTTTCAAGTTCTATCTATTAAATTTTTTTGGTTAACAAGAAAGAAATATGGTTTTTCTAATAATGAGAATCAAATGAGTTAAGTCAACTATTCGACTGCTACATTGGGCCGACTTTCACGTGCTTGCACCCGATTTCCCATGCATTAAGCCTTTTTAAAAGATTCACGGTGACATTATATAAATTTATATACTCAGGCAAGAAAAGAAAACTCCCAATTATTTTTCCTTAATTTGTGAAACATTAATATTGATTGTTGTTTTTTTGTATGGTAACACGACATTAATTATTTTCTTGCTCTTAGGTGGATATATTATCATTCAGACAATTATAAAAAATTAAAAAACTAATAAGAGTTTTGTTTCCTTAAATTACCGTTGGAAACATTTGTTATTGATATGAGACAGTCTAGAAACATGAAGTAGAAGAAAAATAATGTTGCACGAGTGGTGCTCTGCTGGATTGAGCCAGGGAGAGAATTATTTAAGTACAAGAGACTTTTATTAGAAAAAAAAATCGAATAGGAAGTTCAGTTCGACAACGTCTTTTATTTTAAAACTTGTACTTTTAAATATAAAACAAATGGGTCCTTAATAAATATTAATGTGAACAGCTCACCTTGTACAAAACATTTATTGGGTAAGCAAATGTCATTCGATGTGCCCGATTTAATAATAATCATCACGTAGTTTTTGGTTTCCTCTTTTTTATATGATGTTTAACAAAAAAAAAAAAGATATGATGTTTGGGAAATTCACTAAATTTGTATATTCATTTGTCCCGGTTCAATGTGCATCGATTTATAATTGATGCCACTTATTATACAGTATTGCATATTCTAGTATTACAGTATTATAATTTATATTCGTCCTCATATAATTTGTGTGTTCCTAGAATATGAGTGATTAACAATCAAATGCAGTTATGGGTCTTTTGTTGTCTGCTAAAATAAGTTAGACATCTATAAATCCTGGCCATAATTAAACTATTTCTGAGAGAAAAAAAAGAAAGAAAAAACAATAATAATTTCACGATTCGTTAATCTCTCCAGCTGTGTTTAGCTGTCACACAATTTCGATATTTTCTTTATCATCATCACGTACGTATACACAAACACGTGATAGAAGCATATTATTGGTTCATTAATTGGTGACTCCCATAATCGTTATTCGTTAATGACTTTGTGTATGTGTTTAATACAGAAGTATACAATTTGTAATCTGTTAGCTAATCTATGCCCAAAACGTTAAAACACACTTTTCATACAAGTCATCTTCTTTTAACCATATACAAATGTAAAGCATAATTTCATAAGAAAAAAAAAATGGTGAATCTGCATGAATCTAACGGTTTAAAATGATCGTAAATGGTATAAGCTAAGTTTCTATAGTGATGAAGTCATCGTTTGAAGAATCTTCTAACGTTAGTTCGTCGATGACTTCATTCATACTCGGTCTCCGATCTGGATCTTCTCCGGTGCATCTCACACCGATCCGCAAAACGTTCTCAATCTCATCCGACGATGTTTTATCATCCGCCGCGGCGGAAACAACCGTCGGATGAAGCAAATCCATCCAACCACCTTGTTCCACGGCGGAGCCAATCCACTCCACCAAATTTGCCCCGCCGGCTCTATCCAAACCGGCGTACTGCGACGGATACTTCCCCGTTAGAATCTCTAACACCACGACTCCGAAGCAGAACACGTCTGACTTGGCAGATACGCTTCCGTCGCGTTCTGCTTCGGGAGACTTATACGCGACGAGAGATTGAAACTGAGCGTCGGGATTGATCAGTCTTTGGAGTCCGAACTCGGAGACCAGAGGCTCGCCGTCGTCGCCGAGAAAGATATTACTCGTTTTCAAGTTTCCGTGAGGAAGACTCAAAAACTCTAACTCTCTATGGAGATACAACATCCCTCTAGCGATCCCTTGAATGATTTTAAACCTAGAAGGCCAATCTAACTGAGACTCCTCACCGTGATCGCTATGTAACCGGTGAAGCAAACTCAGATTAGGCACAAACTCGAACACAAGCAACTTCTCGTCTCGCCGGAAATGGTAAGCGAGAGGAGTCAATATGTTCTTATGTCGTAAACTTCCGAGTTTCCTAACTTCCTTGTCGAATACGTCAACACTCACTTGGTTCATCACCGTCACACGTTTTACAACCACCGCGACACCGCTCGCTATCACCGCCTTGTACGCGGAACCGACTCCTCCGCTGCTGCTAGGTCGGCTGTTTCCACCGCCGGAGTTTCCCAACACGTGAGCAGCCGCTTTCATCAGATCAGATAAACAGAATACACCTTTTTCTTTGTTCACCATTACTAAATCCGTCGTCCCTGACACCCCCGGTGATTTATCCGACAGCTCACCGGAACGACTCTTCTTGCTCTTCCCCGAGCCACCACTTCTTGATCCGTCAACAGTTATCTAATCAAACCACAACAAGAAATTTGTCTTTGTAATGTCAACAAAATAAAATAAACTATGAGTGTCATATAAAATTTATAAAAAAATACAATTAATTTTATCAAAAATTTATAAAACGTCAAAGATAGGCTAAGTAGATTAATCACATTTTTTTCTAGTTATAAGGAAACATTTTTGAAAAAAGTGAGAATTTGATGAAAGATGTGAATAGAAAAAAAAAAAAAAAAATAAAAAAAAGGAGCGAAATCACATTTTCAAAACGTATAAACGTGAATAAAGCTACGTACAGTTCAAGCCCTATCTTTAACATTTTCAAAATGTAATATTTTTGGTATTGTGAAATAACCTGAATTTGTTGGTCGTCGTTACTGTCTTGTTCACTAGAACGACGTGACGTCTTCTTCTGTTTCTTCTTTTTCTTTTTCTTGAAAACCAAAGAGATGATGATGACGATGAAAAGGACTCCTAATGTACCAAACGCTATATAGTATTTGCTGTTATTCGCATCTTTCATTGGTCCTTCGATCGCAATCGAAGCTTTCGTTGGCTTCGTGCAGATAATTCCCATTTTCGCACCGCAAAGGTCAGGATTTCCCGCGAATTTCTTCACGTCGAATTTCTCCAAGTCCGGAGGTATTTCTCCGGTTAACCGATTGTTCGATAAATCGACGTCAACCAAAGTCCGCTGCGTGAAGTTCGGTATAATCCCGATAAACCGGTTGTTCTCGAGTCGTAGCTCCATGAGATTAGGCAATGTAGTGGCTAAAGAGACGGGAATGAGGCCAGAGAACTCGTTGTTTGAGAGCCACGCTTTCTTCAGCCACACCATCGTCGAGAAATAATCAGACGGGATCTTGCCAGAGAACCGGTTTCCGGATAAGTAAATCGATCTCAGAGCGGTTAACCGGTTAAACTCGGGGATGATGCCGGAGAAAGAGTTGTTCATTATGCTTATGGTTCGTAAACCGGATAGGTCCGTTAAAGGTGTGACGTCGATGTTGCCTGAGAGATTCATTTGTTCGATTTGGAGACCGAAGACGGAGTTCTTGTTGCAGAGGATTCCGATCCATCGCTGTGTTGTTGTTTCTCCGCAAGGTTGTGAATCTGGTGTCCAAGAATCGTCGAGTGGCTTTGTGTTGGTTAATGACTGCTTGAATTTTAGTAATGATTCTGTTTCGGTTATGGAATTCGCGTGATGTACTGTTAGAGATAGCAAAAACAGCCGAGAGATTAGCCAGGCCACGGCCATTTACTCTTGAATCGGAGCTTGGCCGTCGTCGGGAGGAGATTCAAGAAACTTTTTTATTTTCATTAATCAAATGTTTTGCTGGATTTGGTTTACTAATTTTTTTGTCTATGATCTTGTCTTTTTTCTCGCTTTGTCTCTCTTTTTCTCTGTCTTTTGTTTTTCTTTTGTGATCCATTGGATTGAGAGGAAGTTAGGAGCTAATGGCGCGAATGTTTTGTTGAACGAGTCAGCTTGTGAGAAAAGCAAAGAAATTACGAAATCGCATGTGTATATGTATTTTTGTTTGGCCCGTACGTATGGATGATACTATTTGAGTGTTTATGTTATAGTCCAAGCCCAAACGGGAAAAGACTTAATGTTGTTATTGTTAAAAACTTTTACAATAGTAGTAGAACACAACACAACTAAAAGACTCTTTATCCAAAAAGAAAACACAAGTAAATGACTTCTTTGTTTGATCCAAAAACAGAAAGAAAAAAAAAACTTCCATCAGTGTTTGCATGTGTCACTGCAACAATCTCTCTAGAGTTTTTCCATTCCTTCATTTTTTTAACGTATTATTTCAAAAATATATTGCAACACTTTTCTTGAAAAAAGACAAGAAGAAAATAGTTCTTCTTAATTTTGTTCATAGTTTGTTTGAATTCCAAAATAAATAATGGATTTTGATGGTTCAACGTTTGAACTTTGAAAGCGATTTGGGAGAAAAAGGAAAACAATCTAAATCTAGGTAGCCTTGCAATTTTTCCTGGGTCAAGGATCATCTAGATAGCAAAAACTAAAGAATGTGCAACCTGTAGTTTGAAGTTGACTTTTTTTTTGGTTTGGTAACTAGTTTGAAGTCGATTTAGAAAAGAAAAAGTTTGATTTGTTAATCAGCTAGTTAGGCTTTCTCAGATAATGTAATTATGTTTCTTCTATGTATTACTATCCATATCGATGGGAGTACAGTTCCGTTGTAAACTCATTTATATAAAAAAAAACAATAATAAAGATCAAAGTCTTTTATATATTTATACCGGTTTTTATGTAACATCAATACATCTACCATATGTATATCTCACTTTCTCACCTTACGTTATAGTTTTTTTTTTTTAAAGATGAATCCAAATGTTAACACTTTGAAGAGAACAAATGGGTTAATTGAACGGAGACGTGCTGATGAAGGCAAGGACAACAACGAGGACAGCAACGACCAAATCCATTGTACAAATAATTCTGACTATTGTAAGAAAATAATTGGTAAACCGAAATCAATTATAGAGATACAACACAATCAAATCCGATTTTGTTTAATATATATAAAAGTGTGAAACCATGCAATGGATTCGCAGCAAATGCTTTTATCTACAACTACAGACCTCATCATCTATGAAAGCTTTTGAGAAAAGCTCTAAACTTTAGCAAAGACAACTACTTTCTGATTTCACTTCTCAGAGATTTAGATACAGAGCATAATGGTTTTAAAGAAGAGAACAACAATACATAACTTGACAGATGTCTAATGACTGGAAATAGCATTGGACTCGAGGACGTCAAAACGGTTCACGAAACGTCGTTGCTCACATACTTTGCGTGAGATAGGAGCTCTGTATATGCAGTCAGTCACATGCTTGGGCTTCACAACTTCTTCTTCCTTCTTATGACATTGGGCTTGCATATGTGGCCCATCTCCTTCACTTGATAAAACCAACGACATATTGTCTTTGTTAATACACCCCCTCAAACTTGTGGCAGGTGGAAGAGTGACACCAAGTTTGTAGCGCAAGTCAAAGAACGGTTCTTGAGCAAGAGACTTAGTGAAAATGTCTGCCAATTGTTGTCCTGAAGAAACATGTCTCACAACCAAGGCACCATGAGCGACTCTTTCTCTCACATAATGAAAATCAACATCAAAGTGCTTTGATCGTGAATGAAGTGCAGGATTTGCAGAGAGGTAGACAGCAGAAAGATTGTCACAATACATCTCTGGCACATCATCAGGAGGAAATCCAATTGTTTCCATAAGAGAACTGATCCACTTCAACTCTGTAGCAACAATTGACATAGTTCTGTACTCAGCTTCTGTAGAAGATCTTGAAACTGTAGGATGTCGTTTTGCAGACCAAGAAATTATATTTGTGCCAAGAAAAGTACAGAAACCACCTGTAGAACGTCTTGTATCCTTACATCCTGCCCAATCACTATCACTGTAGGCTCTAAGTTTAGAATCAGCATCAGCACGCAAGTCTAATCCCATTTGCAAAGTTCCTTTTAAATACCGTAGTATTCTCTTGAGTAAATTAAAATCTGAGACCGTAGGGGAATGCATCTTCTGGCACACAAAATTAACTGCAAATTGTATATCAGGCCTAGTAAGCGTGAGATACTGAAGCTTACCAGCCAAACTTCGAAAATATGTAGGTTCTGGAAACACTTCATCTTGTCCTGAGACTTTATCTAACTGCAGCGGTAAAGGAGTGGGCATAGGAGCACAATCAGCCATTCCTGCAGAGATTAAGAGATCCATTGCATACTTTTCTTGACAAAGAAATAACCCATCAGCATGAAAATGTGCTTGTACTCCAAGAAAATAGTGTAAAGGACCTAAATCCTTCATTTTAAAGACTGCATTCAAACTCTCGAGCAGCTTTTTGATTAGCTCATTATTATTTCCTGTCAACACCATATCATCAACATAAAGAAGGAGAAGCATCACATCATTTCCCTTTAAATAGACAAAGAGAGATGGGTCTGGTATGCTGCAAATGAAACCAAAATCAATGAGATGATTGCTGAATTTATCAAACCATGCGCGAGGAGCTTGCTTAAGCCCGTAAATAGCTTTCTTAAGCTTGCAGACAAACTCTGGTTTCAAAGGATCTTCAAACCCAGGGGGTTGAGTCATATATACAGTCTCTTTTAAATCACCATGGAGAAAAGCATTCTTCACATCCAGTTGTTTGATGTCCCATTTTCTTGTAACAGCAGCATGAAGAATTGATCGAACGGTTGCAGTTCTGACAACTGGACTGAATGTCTCAATAAAATCAACTCCCTCTTCTTGATCATACCCTTTTGCCACTAGTCTAGCTCTTAGTCGATCAAGATCTCCATTGGCTCGCAGTTTAGTTGTGTAAATCCATCTGCATTCCAATACATTATCAGCTTCATCTGGTGGAACTAAATCCCAAGTATCCACTTCATGCATAAATTCTATCTCTTCTCCCATAGCATTTGTCCATCCTGCATCTTTAAGTGCTGCTTTGACAGTCTTTGGCTCAGGATAATTAGTCTTTACCGTGAACAATGCATACTTGGGATTTGGCTTAACAATTCCTGATCTTGCTCGAGTAGTCATTGAGTGAGCCGGAGCGACTTGATTTTGATCATCTCGAGGAGCAGCAAACAATGGAGGGAAGTCATGTTCAGTAAAGATTGACTCTGAAATGTCTGCATTTGTCTCAGCTTGTGTTTGTTCTCCAATTCCTCCAGAGTCTCCATTTTCTGAAAATTCTCCATTTTCTGCATTTTCTCCATTTTCTGCATTCTCCACAGCTCTTGTGATTGACCCTTCTCCTTCGTTTTGTGAGTCTATGTTGCCGATAGGAACATAGAGAAAATCAGCCGTACACCCAGAGCTTTCCACTTCCTGAGTAGTAGACATTACATGTATATTCAAGGCTGAGATCAATGGAGTTTTTCCTGCAGCCTGAAACTCACGATACACATCAGTATAAGGAAACTGCAGCTCATTGAACAAAACATGTCTACTTATATAGACCTTTCCAGATGGAGGATGAAAGCAACGATATCCCTTGTACTTTTCATTATATCCAAGAAATACACAGTGTAAAGACTTAGGATCAAATTTGTTTTTGGAATAAGGCCGTAGATATGGATAGCAAGTGCAGCCAAAAACTCTTAAAGCAGTGTAAATGGGAGGCTTTCCATAAAGTTTTTCATATGGACTCTGACCATCTGTAACTGACGAGGGTAAGAGGTTTCCTAAGAAATTTGAGGTGAAGAAAGCCTCAACCCACAATTGCTGAGGTACTCTGCTGTGGAACATCATGGAGAGTCCTAACTCCGTGATATGCCGGTGCTTGCGCTCTGCAAGACCGTTCTGCTGCGGCGTATGCGGACAAGAGATTAGTTGTTTGATTCCACGGCTGGCCAAATGCTCGAGAAATTTGGAGCTAATAAACTCACCTCCTCCATCGCATTGAAACATAGTTATCTGTTGCTGAAGTTGCTTCTCAACCAAAGCTTGAAAAAGAAGAAACACTGAATAAAAATCCGATTTCCTTTTAAGTGGATAAAACCAAGTGAATCTCGAATAGTTGTCAACAAAAATAACATAGTACTGAAATCCCTGAGCTGAGACTACAGGTGACGGTCCCCACAAATCACAGTGTATGCGTTCGAGTGGCCTAGATGAGACATAATCAGAAGCAACAAAAGGAAGTTTGCACAATTTTCCCAATTGACAAGCCTCACACAACTGAGAGCTAGCCTTATTCAAAACGATAAACTGTTTTCTTGTAAGAAATTGAAGAATCTCAACATGAGGATGGCCAAGTCTTTGATGCCAAATATCTCCACTCGCAGCTTGCTGTCTTGTAGAGTAAAAAGCCTTAAACTGAGGATTCTTCAACACGTACAAGTCATTACTTCTGCTGCCTTGAGTGAGGAGCTCCTTTGTCCATTTGTCCTTTATACAGACAGAGTCAGAATCAAACGTAAAAGCACAAGGATAATCCTTAGTCAGCTTAGAGACAGACAAAAGAGGTTTTGTTATATCAGGACAAACCAAAACATCTTCTAAAGGTAATGTACCTTGAAGTGTAGGTAAAACAGCAGATCCAATATGAGTAATAGGCAAAAAGTCGCCATTACCAACAATGACAGCATCCTCACCATGATAGGGTTGAGCGTTTGGAACTTGAGCTGCAGAATTGGTGATATGAGCTGTTGCTCCTGTATCTGGATACCACTCATGTCCTGACTGAGGAGCTTGA